CCTCACATCGAAGCCGAAAAGAGCGCCTCCAATAGTACCAAAGGCTGCAAGAACTGTGGAATATGAGCGTTATGAACACTCTCAACAGGCCAGACCAACATACCGTAAATGTTCGTTATAGTATACATGATCGCGATTGGACTGTGAAGGTTGTCAATCGAAGCCTTGGGCTTGCGGGAAGGCGTTTTATAAGTAAAGTAGTAGCAGATTGACAGGTCAATGCACGATTCGGCATGTCGACTCGGGCTACGCGACGTTGCATGGTATGATTCCGGGACGGGGGCATTGACCCTGGAACGGGAAAGGATAAACGGGAATGAATTGCGGAGTGAGGAGAAACCCGGGGCACAAAAGTCGGGGGTGGACACGGCGTCATTGGCGGGCCTATAGTTTATCGAAGAACCAGTCGGGGCATTCCATGTGTCCCTTATTAGCCGAGATGTTATTTATCCGTGGGATTCTCCCTGGTTTTAGGTGATCCCAGCCCAATCTCCTACACGGATAATTAGGAATTAGGTATAATTCCGAGACGGTGGCCTTCTGCCTATTATCAGTTATACCTTCTTTCTTCCGACGCTCCACGAACGAGCTCGCCCGTTTCTCACAACAGATCGGCATACCAACGTCATGCCCCCAGACAAACCTGTCGAAAATTGGGATTGGACTTCACGACCAATACGACCTAGACTTTCTTCCTATGAAGATGCCTTACTAATACCATGAAAATGCCCATTATATCGACAAGTCGAATATGCCACTATCTGTGAGATAGTGGTCCTTGATGGAATCGGATCATAACATTACGAGCTTTTTGCATCTGAAGGGCTTTTAATTGGAATCAAAGAGCCTTGGCGAGCTCATTCTATATAGCCTACATATTTCTGACAAAGGTCGGGTAAATTACAGTCGCAGAGCAGAATTCGGACTATGGCCTTTTCGATGCTCCATCTGGGTTGTCCCCTCCCTGTTTTTCTTTTTCTCTCCCCCCCCCCCCCCCCCCCCCCCCCTTTTTTCACTTAGATTTAGTTGCTTGAAGTTGATATCATTTCTTTCATCTTTCGGCAGTATCTCACTGTCGCCTAGGCTCGTTCTGGTAGATCAAAACTAGTATTGAGTAGATTGTATAGTATAGTTCACCAAGCAAGGTCTTCGGACTTTCATAATATCTTCATCTAGTCTCCTGTTTTAATATCTCTCAGCCGTCGACAAATCTAGGTTCCACCCTCCGACACCATATTGCCATCATCCCCCTTCGATGTCACTAATCTACTTGCTGTGTACCTGTGCTTTATATAACAAATATCGGGGGTTACCATCCACTTTTTCAGTCACACTACTACACCATACTGACACGGCCTTTCTTTGGATTGGCATCTGGCATAGGTTGGTATATATCTTATGCTTCTTGTGGACTGTGGAAGCACATGCTACACCCAGGTCGTGTCCCAATGGAAGCTAATTCTGATGACAGCTCTGTCATGTGAAATTGTGATTCCCAGGACCCAACCCCCTAAGCCCGAAGGAAAGTACTATCAGTTCCCAAGATCTGCCTTTGTCGAGTGTTAGTCCATCGACTATTGCACGTTTGACTTGAAATGAATACCCTATCGGTTTAAGTTCGGATATGGGTTGTCCTACACAACCTTCAAATTCTATCCGAGCCTCTAGGAACGGAAGACAATCGGACCCTGGTCAAAATATCCTTTGACAACCAACCTTATGGAAGGAAGTCGTTTGGCACGCCAGTACACGGGGTCCATGGACATTCAGTAGTTGGGATGGGAATGCTCAGCAATAGGCTCTTCCGCACGGTAAGTCTGATCTGGGTACCTCATTTAAGTACGATCACTATCTAGACGAATTGCAAAAGCTTCGCTAGAGAACAAAATAAACCAAGAGGATAGGTTTCTAACACAATCATTGACCATTCTATGAGATCTAGGTATATAGCTCTGTCTATGGTCTATTCTTCAAACCAAAAACGCATAGAAAATTACATCAGAAGAACATGTGTATCGCAGAATCAAAAAATTTACAGCTTGCTCTTGGCCGGCTCATTCTTGAGCAATGCCGAATTCCATGGGTAAGGGTCGAACACCAAGTCGTTAACAGGGTTCTCCTCGCTTGCCCGGCGGAACAGATCCTCGTACACCTTGCCGTCATAGCGACCCAGGCTGCTGTCCAGCTGCCAGTCCGGAATCGCCCAGGCATCGACCAATCGAACAGCGTGCGGGCGGATCTCATCGAGTAGTTTTAGTACCGCAGTAGTACGAGTCAGTGTGATTTGTCGCACAGTGACCGCACCGGAAGAGAAGAACTCAGCCGCTTCGCGCTCCAAAGTATGCAGTGAGAAGAGTCGGAATAATTGGTGCATGAGGCCCTGGGTCTCCGGATCCAAAGCCGCTGAGAGTTGGGGAGAGGAAACCGCCTCGTAGAAGTTCTTCACCATCAGGTACTGAGAGTGAGCCGTAGACAAGCGCCAGAAGTCAACCAAAAGGCTGTTCCAGGAGCGCTGCTCAGCATCCCGGTGCTTCAGAGCCTCAAAAGTCAGATGGGCCGTGCGCCATGCAAAGGCAGCAACAATATCCTTGTCTTCATCAAGGACGTCGAATGAAGCTCCCTTGTCGCGTCGGTCGAGGTATGCCTGGAGGATCTGGCTAGTGTCGTTACCAGCCGGCTTGCCAGCCAAAACAGCACGGGCAGATTTAAGAAGCTGTTAATATTGTCAGTCTCAGGTGGGTAGAATAGAAGAAAAAACTGGGACGTACGTAACGTGCAACCTGCTGGGTCAACATATAGTTGTCACCTTCCCAGGTCAGTGTGGGCAGATAGTCCGCATATGCCGGCCCAATACCGCTATAGCTGCTGTATCCATGGCCACCACAGGCGCGGCGGCAGACCTCCAGACCCTCACCAGCAGTGGTACTGGCCAGAGCCTTGAGACCACAGGAGGTGGCATGTAGATCCGCCAGGAGATTCGCACCGGCACGGAGCTGCTCGGGTCCAGCGCCCCGCGACTCCTGGTCCGGCGAACTGGCTGCCTTCATGCGGCTTTGATTCTCCTCATACAGACGCATCATACCGCGACCAGTGAAGTGAAGGGCATACATGGATGCCAAAAGCGGGAGCAAGCGCACTTGGACCATCTTATAATTCAGTACTTGGGTCTCACCCGCGTGTGGATCTGCATCGCGATCCTGGAATTGCCTCCGAACTGCACAGTACCGAGTCGCAATAGTGACACCGCGAGCCAGAACACCACCGGCATCGAGAACAATATTGGCGCGCACCCAGGTCATAGTACCAAAGACAAGAGATGGCATAGCAGGTTTAGCATATTGGTTTGTCTCTTTGTTGACCTGACAGAAGCGGGCTAGCATGTTGACATGGGGTATCTTGACGTTGTTGAACAGCAGGAAACCATTATCCATAGTGCTAAAGTATTCATTAGTCCTATTTCCAGCCAAAAAGTGAGAACGGACTTACTTGTAGCCAAACTTGGGACCAATATCGCCCACATATACATTATCCAAGGGCTGATGGGTTTCGAGGTCACGGACCTGCACAACGAATGGATGAGGACCGTAGTTCTTGCCATCAATGAAAAGCTGGGCCATGACCACAGCGTGATTGGCCGTGCGACCGAGAGAGCCAATCCACCACTTCGAAGCAGTCAATGTTGGGGAGTTGATGGTGAATGTCTTATCGTTGGAGTTCCAGGTGGCGGTGGTTTCCAAACCGCGCACGTTCGATCCGTGACCCAATTCTGTTTGCGCATAGCAGCCGATGATCTCGTATTTTTCTGCGCGTTCAAGGAACAGTTTGTGCTGCTCGGGGGTGCCTTGTTCTCGGAGAGTCACCTAGATAACGATCAAAGCGATCAGTTGGATGCTTGCTGAGGGATGCAATCATCCACTTACCAGGAACATGCTGGCATGCAAACCATATGGAGTAGGTTCACCGATCAAGTCATTGGCCGCATGGAGCTCGGTCATTGACCATTTGTGCTCTTCTGCGAGCTGCTGGAGGCGCTTGGCCTTGCCCAGCGACCGCTGGAGCCGTTCCACGCGGCCCAAAGTATGATTTTGAGACTTATCAAATACTTTTTCGGGTTGCAAAAGAGCTAGGAGGGATGCTCGTCGCTCTAGGGTTTCCTTGGTGTGCAGCAACTCGGATAATCTTTCCACGTCGACATTTGATTGAGCACGCTCCTGCTCGAGGAGCTCAGATCCTTGCGGACCCGACGGCTTCAGGGCCTTAACCCAATTAGGAGGAGGTGTTGGCATTGTGAATAACAAAGGGGGATATATTGGGATAGATAGAAGAGAAAGAATGGGGAAACATGGGGTTATGAACCCCAGAGAGAAGCAGGAAGCTTGGAAGGGCCGAGGGTCTAAATTAGGAAAGAGCCTCGGCTTAAGGAAGCTGACTAAGTAGGAAATGGCGAAGGCCCGGGGAACTTCCGAATTCGGAAGTTCCTAATTCCCGAGGTTGACTTCCTTTTACACCTGTTAAGACCCCTTTGATTATATATGTATGTATGGCGTACTCTATACACAATTTATTAATTACCGATCATTTATTCCGTCACAGGATTCATCCCCGCACATTTCATCATGTACTGATTTTGATATGGGGAAGCGGGGAGAAAATGCACATTTCGGTTTGACAGCTTAACCAGTCCCGAAATCAGCTGACCCCGATCATCGGGTCTTAGAGCGTATAAGATCACCCGCGATCGGCACTAACCGTCTACGTTTGGAATACATAACCCTGGGAATATTCTGGGAAATGACCTAGGTTTGGAGGTATTAAACTTGCAAACTATACCCCGGTCATATGGTCAAGTTGTTAGGACGAAAAGGAAAGGCTCACGTGAAACGGGTACAGCATTGCATACGGGATGAGCGAAAAGTCCGAGATAAACAATCGGATCTGATAACAAAAAAAAAAAAAGTTCCCGAACGACTCTCACATGTCAACATGTGAGAGTTTTGATTCTATTCACTATGTGTGACCTTGGTTACCCGCGGCAATCCTAGCCACGTGATGAGAATGGCACCAGATAGGGCGATGATAAATGGCTGCAGCACTTTCACTCCCTTGGCTTGTGCAAGCACACCAACCGCAGAAGGGAGGATTGCCGCCCCGCTACCCCCAAAGGCAGCGACAAACCCTATTGAGATGACATGCAGGTGCCGAGGAAGAAGCTTGGTAGCGATGACAACTGCCCCAGGGAAAAGGGATCCAAGGAAGAAGCAAGCCACCTTTTTTGTTCTCGTCCGATAAGGGTACGTTGGACGCGCGGAAAGCGGCGGCGGTTGATTTCCAGAAGCATGCGCCAGAAACTACCAATTCGATGGCCGCACATGTGGTCTGACCATTAACTCGTGGTCAATACCTGTGAGAAACCTTTCGAGGTCCAGGCACTTACCATGACAATAAAAGTAATACCACGGCAGACCATCCTTAGCAATTATTGACGTTGCGACCAACGGATTCATAACTGCACCAGCTCCATAGATACCATGCAACACTCCTAGCATCTCATTTGCATTAGCTATGTTACCAATCCATGCATTCTATGCAGCATCCTCTTGGCCATTTCCCAACCCTGCAAAGATGAATGCGACCATTAGTACCGGATATGGTGGATGAACGCAGTTGATATAGGCAATGAGATGGCACGCTGGTCCGATAATGGCCCCGCCACGTTGACCGAACGTATAGTGGATGCGGTGGTTGAGAAAAGCGGCTATTGTATAGCCTACTAGAGGTGACAAGAAAACGAGAGACACAATTGTGTACGATAAATGGTAGTATGATTCTAGCTGTACGCTGGATAAGAAAAATTGTTGTCAATTGCAGAGGTTTCATCCTACATATGGAAGTAGAGCCTGCCAATAGTCAGTATATATCTCGCAACATTGGAATCAAAATGTGCTCCTTTTGGGCCAAATCAACTTACACCATAGGCCGTGTCATTCACACCCATGACTAGGAATGACCAGAAGGTTGCAAAGGTTCGATGAATATTAACGCGAGGCGAGTTCCATTTATCCAACAATGGAAAGCTTTCAGGACCCAAAGGTGAACCTACATCTGACTGGCTATGAGGCAAAGCCTCGAGGGCGATGAGATTCGAATCGCGTGTTTTTTGAATCATACGGGTAGTTGCCATAGCGTGTGATTTAGTGCAGTGCGAATTCTGTTTGCAAGTAGAACTATCAGCGGCAATGACAGCCCGTTCTTTCCTTGGCGCGGGGTTCAACCCGCATTTCCAGGTTGAGATGAGGGGATGGTGACTTCCCCAAAATTACTGCGGCAGAACTTCGGGGGAGGATGATAGTTATCGACTCTGAACGGGTTATTAGACGCCGTTCCCAGTTTTCCTTTTGCTCGGATAATTCTTGTGCTTGTTATGTTTATGCGCTGAGAGGTCATGGACCGGGAGAGATACTGTTTTGGTAGATAAGCTCCATGAATGAGTTGTTGTGAAGGGCTCGTGTATCAAAAACACTCTTTAATTATATATGAGAATTGGATTTCGAATAACGTTCACGATCGCGTAGGATTCGCGTAGGTTTTTGTCGAGTGCATTCAGCCCAATAAATTCGATGCACTGGATTTGACAATTCAACGAAGAACAAAGTATTATATCCTTGATTAAACCACACCGTATATATTCTTATATATCACGGTTTACCACCAGCACTCCATTTGAAAGACCTTCCCCTGCAATACGGACTTGGGCCACATTTTGGATTCTACGGGTGTTGTTTTTCCACCAATCGGAATATATGCATTCATATATAAGCCCACTCAAGGGCGCCGTTAACCCTGTATATTATAACAGGAATGAGTTACAATAATCCCATCATACCCGGGTTTAATCCCGACCCTTCAATCGTTCGTGTCGATAAAGACTTTTTCTTGGTCACCTCCACCTTTGAATACTTTCCAGGAGCTTCCATTTACCACAGCCAGGATTTGATCCAATGGACATTGATCGGTCATGCGTTGACACGACCCAGCCAGCTTCAAATTCATACGCCAGAACCGGGAGGAGGTGTCTGGGCAACTACAATTCGTTACCACAAAGGGGTTTACTATATCATTGCCGCGAGCTTTCAGCGTTATCGTCCTCAACAGGATGACCGAGTTTGGCCACAGGGATTTTATGTCAAAACAACCAATATATGGAACGAGAAGACATGGTCTGATCCAATCTATTTTGATCAAGTTGGCTTTGACCAAGATGTAAGTTTTGACCACTCCCCTGAAAGATCGCGGGAATGACAGTTGAATACAGCTTTTTTGGGATGACGATGAAACCGTATATTTATCATCCACTTACAGAAAGACCCAGCCAACTACTGGTGCTAAGCTGAAGGATTTTGCGATTCATATATGTACTGTTGATCTGGCCACCGGGAATTCTACGTCAGCGCCTAAAATGATCCGCGAATCTTCTTCTGGTGTTGCCGAGGGGTCACATATCTTCAAACGCGGTCGTTATTGGTATTTGTTCACAGCAGAAGGCGGTACTGAAAGTGGCCATAGCGAATGGGTGAACCGCAGTGAGGTCAGTCCATTAGGACCGTGGGAGCTCGGGCCGAATAACCCGCTCTGGCGCAATGGCATTGAAGATGAAGTGCAAAACACGGGACATGCAGATCTGGTTGAGGACACCAAAGGGCAATGGTGGGCAGTTGTTCTCGGTGTTCGTCCCTCAAGAAAGGGGGATACGTGGGAAGAATCGGTGCTAGGTATGGCGACTCAAAGTATTGGTCGGTTAGTATACTAACCTTCGCAGGCCGAGAGACATTTCTAGTCCCTTTGGAATGGAAAGACGACTGGCCTGTGATCAATGGAGGACAGAAAATCAGTCTCAACTCCCATGGACCTGGTCTTTATGAATTTAAAACCCCGGTTTCCTGGAGAGATGATTTTTCGGACCCGGAAATGCAAGTTGGATGGTATCGAAAAAGTGAGCCTCAAAGAATGAACCTGCCTGAGCCCACCTGACCAGAAAATAGACACGCCCTTCGTAAATGACTACTCACTTACTGAGCGCCCCAATTACCTTCGCCTCCATGGTGGGCCTTATAACCTTTCAGTGCCGGCTAGTCCAACCATGTTTCTTCGCAAGCAAACCCACCTCCTGTGCAGGTGGGAGACAAGGCTCTCCTTTCAGCCGACGGTAGGTGAAACGGAGGCTGGCACTGTGGTATGGTTAAATTATTTTACATATAGCAGCATCGGTATCAGGAAGGATGACAAGGGCCGTTTCATTCGTTTTCGACCATCAGAGGGTGATATTGTGGAGCGTAGATTGGACACAGAAACTGCTGTCACTCTCACAGTTGACTGCGGTAGCGAGTATCGATTTGGGTATCTTGAGGGGATAGGATCTGAAATCCAGTGGATCGGGTCGGTTCCTAATAGTGCTGCTACGGCAGCACCTCCAGTTGGGGCCAACTTTACTGGCATGATGCTGGGTCTATATGCATTTGGAGAGCGCCAGCGATGCCTGGCCCCAGCTGATTTTTCGTATGCAGAGTTTAGATAAGTCAATGGTGCTGCTGTGCTCATTTCGTGAGGAACATATATTTGCAAAGATTTGAAATGCACCGAACGTTGATATATCTTCCAATATTTCATCCACATGTAAAGCGTGCATCCACTTTGTAACTATGTATGCAAGATCCACTGTCTGATGCTGTTGTGACCACACAGAACATCATCTATTTAACTCCGTGATTAACTCCGATCGCCAAGCAATCTGATTGGATTCTTCCTCAACATGGGGTGGCGACCTCAGGGTCACCTTGAAAACTATTGTTTCATAAGCAAGACGTGACACCCTAGCGCTGATAGCCAGAATGACCGAAACCTCAAAAATTGACCATCCAATCTCCATCGCTGATGCCACCTCTGATGACGCCGAACAAGTGACAGACAACTGGTCTGGATTAAGTGACCCGACCGAACGCCGTCGGCGACAGAACCGCATAAACCAGAGGGCTTACCGTACGTCACTTTCACCACAGTTTGTTGAGCAAGAGCTAATCTCTGTCTACCAGGAAAGCGCAAGAGACTGGCATCCACCAAAGACATCCACCCCAAGAGCCTAAATGTAGTACCATCCGCTCGTTCGACCTTTACCGTCCAGTCGCAGGATCGTTCTTCCCAAGACAATCCGACACTCAACTTCTGCCGCAGCCCCGAATTATTACAAAATATTTTAGAGAGATTCGCCAAGTCAGCGTTTGAAAGTTACGCGCGAGGTGACCCGACCGCCGATCATCTTATGACGCTAACGAAAGTGAACGTGTTCCGTGCATTCGCCCAGAACCTACGATTAATCGGCTGGTCGGAGTACTGGATGGACCACGACGCTGTTTCACCGTTCAATACAGCTCTGCCACAAAGTCCCTCTATCCCGGGCGATAACAGCCTCATTCCGACCAACCTGCAACCTACTCGAATTCAAAAATCGATACACCATCACCCATGGCTGGACTTCTTTCCTTTACCCAAGATGCGCGATAATCTCATTGAAGCAGGGGATGATTGGGATGACGAGCAACTCTGTCACGACATCATGGGTTTCTGGGGTGAGTCAACGATGGATGCAGGACTGCTAGTTTGGGGAGAGCCTTGGGACGTGCGGAACTGGGAGGTGACCGAGCCATTTCTGAAGAAATGGCTTTGGGTTGTTCGAGGGTGTCCTGAATTGATGAACGCAACAAATAGTTGGCGTGCCCGTCGGGGGGAGAAACCAATATTCCGCTATATTTGAATCAAATGTTACACGTGAAACTTCTAGTTCAGAAATTAAGTATTTTTCTGCCTTCTTCTGCTGTTTAAATCTATATGAGATGAAATATGTTAAACCACACGCCAAAAGCAACCGATGAGAATATTGGACCTGCAGATGTTAGATAACCCCGGAGGGATGGAAATTCGTACCGGAGATCAGCTTGTACTTAGGGGATATGCTCTTTCTGCTGCTCTCTAAGAATTAGCAGCAAAAGTATTGCGATAAATGGATAAGCCACTTAGCCTGCAAACACAAACCACTAGCTCGCATAAGATGATTCCACCATATTCAAGGACTGATAGCCCCGAACATCTCCTGGGTGTGGCTTTGAAAGAACTTGGGCTACTCTGCCGCAGAGACGACCGAGCTTTGACATTTAATCACTTTCTCCTCTCGCGGGCCATCCACACTCAAAGGTCGTATAATAAACGTATTGTATTCATGTTGTGGATTATTCCATTCACATTATTCTAATTGAAATACCGTGACGAGACTCGTAATACATGTGGCCCATGAACACGCACCGCGTAAGCTCATGCCTTCAAATCTAGTTTCTCCTTTCGACCCCATATTTCCAGCCATTCTTTGACCGAGGCACCGGATTTAGCCAGTTCATTCATGCATATGTTCCGCACATAGTCACATCGAATTACCTTCATGGCGTTGCGAATATTGCGGGGCGATGGAGATTCCAAGGCCCCAGTGACCCAATGACCGTCAGGTGCATCTAACGCCAGGACGATAGGGTATGTCATCTCGCAGTTGTGCAAGTCTTCGGCCACAGAACCCTTCAGCCTTGCATACTCCGAAGAATAAACATTCTTGCAGTCATTTTGGAGCTGCGAATGCCAGCTATACAAACGTCAAACTTGAATCGTAATGAATTCCTGGAAGGGCCCACTTACGCAACCATAGTTAAAGTCTCATCCATAGAATTATTCTCTAGGACAATGTGGCCTAGTAAACGGAATAAGGAACCGGTTTTGAGAGAGGCCATTCTTCGATATGCTGCAACTCTGTCCGCGGTAGCGATAGGGAAACCACTAATTCCATCCCTGCGCCAGACGAGGGATATATCTTGACCTTCAAGGATATCCTGGAGATCCTGCATGAGCCATGGCGCGAGGCTTGGGAAGTCCTTGGTCGTTTTGTTCAGAATTTGGGTGACTCTATAGTAGGCGCGGTTTGCTGTCTCCGACGGGCCGTATATTTTGTGAGCGGCGGGTCGTCCTTTACGGTAATCGCTCCCATCGGAGATCTAGGAACCCGTCATTTAGATGGGCTGTATTGAACCCATGTCGCGAGGAAGGAGAGCGTTCCGGAACTCACATCATCGACTAGCATCAGGCAAAGGT